GTTCTTATCCAAAACAAAGCAGGAGACCGGGGGTTGCGCACCCAAACAGTAGCGCGGTGATGTAGCAATGACAATGAAAAATTAAATTTTCATCCAAATTGCTTAAAAATGGACTTAAATGAAAATAGAGTAAATTCTAAGAACTATGGTTTAAAAAAATTAAAAATCCATTGATAAATAAAAAAGTTTTTGGGATTTTTGTTTGCAAAATGTTGGAGGACCTTCATATAGGAAAAAATAGCCAAAATGTGGGACATGTTTTGATGTATTTTGAGGAAAAACTGTTCATAAGTCAGTAATGAATTGGAGCATATGAATGAAACTTGGCATCTCCATGTGATTTTTAGTGCCGAATCTAGTTCTGCTATCACTTTTTCGATATCTTCATTACTTTGGATCTTAAAGACTGATATTTGCGTGAAATTTGTTGAATTGCGTGACATCGTTTTTACCGCGACGCGATCACCCCTTCTAAATTAAAACTCAGTAAAACGCTATCGGGAAAACCCGCGATGTAGTCATCGGTGACCCATTTGGTTATAGGCAGCCAATCACATGCAGCCTAGCGATCACGCGCCTCTTGCGTGCCGGCACCTCGCGTTTGGAATGCGCTATCAAGTTTCTAGATCTAGTGTTTTATCAATGGATGGGTGGTAATTTTAAGTTGGTACGGAAAATCTACTAAACGCAGAGATCTGAAATTTTACAGCAATAAAGAAGACATGTGGGGCGCTTGTGTGGTCGGCGATCAACCCGCAGCTCCGCTTAGTTTTTGAACCACAGAGGAAATTCGGTATTTTTTTACTTTCCCTCCCGTCTCACACTCAGCTACCAGTTGTCTATTTTCTACTAAATATTGATGCGCAGAACACGAATATCAACTTCATTTCCGTCGCAAATTAATAGTTTTTGAAATATTTGATTGTTTTTAACCGAAATAGACGTGCTTTGGACCAATCAGGGGGTACCAGGGGGGCCTGCCCCACTGGGGTAAAAGAAAATCTGGGGGGTTACAGGGGGGCATGCCCCCCTGTTTTTACCCATAATTTGATATTTTACAGTTAGATTTGAAATTGTCTTGAAAATAATTGATTTGCGACAGTTTTAGTGGCTTTATGTGTGATCTGCAGCAAACAGTACTGCAGTTTGACCCCTGAAACAGTGCATCTGTGTGCGGGAGTGAAAGTAAAAATTTACTGGAAATTCGCACAAACACGGCAATATCTCCGGTTCTAGTAATCGTTCGGGATTGTACGCTGGCATGTCGTTAGTTTAACCTTTCCTCTGGTTGGTTGCCGAGTTTCATTTATTTTCGTCCAGGAGTTTTCCCGTAACTAAACTTAGAAGAGAGTCACTTCTGATTCCGGGCGGCCCAAAAAATACTCCTCGCGCGGAGCCCGATTTCCGGCACAAGGCGCAGCGGGCGATTGGCATTGCTAGGTGATGCGGGCCTACTCTAGAATAGATTCTAGTAATAGACCGGTGGCGCGACGCCGGAGAATAGCTTCTGATCTATTGACCGGTGCGACGCCGTAGAATAGCCACTTGCAAAATAAATACTATTTCACCTTTAGTAAATAGCCTACTGGACAACTCACAACTCGATCCAGAATCGGATCACACTCTTGTGAACTCTTGTCACAAACAACAAGACCTGGGTCTAGATCTAGATATCTAAATCTAACTCTAATCTAGATTCTAAATCTAACTGCAAACTTGAAAAAATAATATACAGGACAAAACAACCGAACAGAGCTTTCCGTTTGCATCATTATAAACACCAACTTATCTTGGCGGCTTACCTCCGTAAAGCCAATCTTCGTCATCTTCTGCTAAAACAACCGCATCCACTTTGGGAGCAGCCATTTTGATTTGGCTTTATTCGGAGCTATGTTGAATACAGTTTCGACAGAAAATTTGGTCATTTGATATTTATTGAAGTTCAAGAAATTTGTGTTATCTACCATTATAATATATCTATTCTGACTCTGTATACGTTTACTTTCCATTTATTTTGTGCAGTTTCGAAAATCCTGCGTAACGCGCCAATTGTTTACACATAACAACAACATGGCTGTCCCCCTTATCTGGTATGTGTGGTGATGACTCGGTACAGACACTGCTCTACTGAATGAATGGCCAGTATTGTTATTGAAGTAAAGCCTCGCAGAAGTTTCACTATTGTTATGGATATACTTTTGCTGCCTTATTCTGCAATCATTCTGTGATCTAGATCTAGATCTAGATCTATATCAAGGTTGGACTTTTAGGATGTAACTAAAGTATTTATTTTATATAAGTGGCTATTCTCACCCGCCCGGAAGTTCTCGCAAGATCTACTCCTCCCCTCTTCTCTCTCTCTCTGTCTCTTTCTGAATACTGTCTATCGGTGTGGACGATCAAATTGACCAAAACAAAGTTAAAAAATGATGTTAAAACACAAAAGTAAATTAATTTGGTTGTCTACAAAGATGCTACGGCTATTTAACTCTTTTCGAATCGAGCCGAACTACTCTCACTCTCTCTCTCTCCCCTGCCCACAGACAAAATTGTACGCTTTTAGTAGGCTACAAGTACAGTTGTAATGGAACGTTTGTTCACAGCACAGAATTCTACAATTTTTCTCTTATCACAGTGTAGAATTCTGTGGTTTAGGGTGAACGCAAAATTTGTTGACACGCGCACCGGGTGAGAATAGCCACAAGACCCGCCTGCACTATTCTCACCCCGGGTGAGAATAGAGGTGGCCTTTATATTAACTATGACATGACTATGATTCATGATGATCAGTCAAAGCAATGATAAAGTATGAGGAAGAAGTCCCATGGCCAAGGCAAGGCAGGGAGAATGTAGATCTAGGTCTACTTTGAAAGAGAAAATAAAAGTGGAGTTTGACAATTATAATGAAGCAAAACCTTTTTTCCTCTACTTATTCTCTTGGAATGGTCAACCCAAAAAATTTAAGGATACTCAACTGCCAATGCCATGCATGCGCGAAACGTGAAGTCTTTCCAATAACAATCGTGGAATCCTGCTATATTATATACGCCTACAGTATGCACACGTACGGTATACACACACACACACACAAACACGCTGGCACTCACGCACGCGCACACACACGCGCACACACACACACACACACACGCGCACACACACACACTTTTGTATATATATATATATATATATATATATATATATATATATATATATCTGTAATTTGAAAATTATTCAATATTTTCACAATCTGTAAACGCACACTTGTAAAACAATCATTTAGAAATTTCCCGATTGAGCACCATGAGCATCGCTCAAATCAAACGAGCACAGAAATTCTCAAAAGATGGCTACCCCCTTGGAAAATTGGTCAAGGATAAAAGTGAGGTCTGTCATTCGGTTTCTGACCGCAAAAGTCTCAAACCTATAGAAATACACACTGGAATAAAGTCAGTTTATGGGGAGAAAGTAATGGCAAAGTCACAGGTATATGAGTGATGTAGTAAGTTCAAAGCCGGGCACTTCGATATCAATGACAAAGTTTACCCAGGATCTTGTTTTTCTGCCAAGACTGAGGACAACAAGAGTCGCGTTTACGAACTTATTCAAACAGACAGGCGCCTAAAAATTCGCAAAATTTGCGAGTCGCTAAACATTTCAAAGTGGACTGTCTATAGGATAGAGTTTGATGAGCTGCACTATTGAAAGGTCTCTGCTTGATGGGTTGGGGCCGAAAAAGACCAGCGGGGTCATTTTGCAGCATGGCAACACAACGCCACACACCGCAAACGTCACGAAAGACTGGTTCCAAAGGTTCGGCTAGGAAGTTTTACTACACCCCCCTCACAGTCCTGACTTGGCCCTGTCAGATTGTCAACTTTTTAAACCAATGAAACGCCATATTTCTGGACAGCGATTCACCGACGACGAAGACCTCGTGGAAGCCGTGAACGATTGGTTGAAATCCCTTGACGAAAGATTCTTCAGGGAGGGTATCTTCTCCCAGATCCAGCGATGGGAAAAATGTGTCCAGCGGGATGGTGATTACATTGAGAAATAAAGCACATGTTGAGGTATGGTGTGTTACAGTTTTATTATAATAGGACAAAGATTTTTGCTTTAACGGACCTTTTCCGGTTTTCCCTGGGACAGCCCTCGTATATATA